GCAGATTTCGTGGCAGGGGCAGCACTTTGTGAACTCTCAAGTGCAGAAACGAATCACGAATCATGAATATCACGAATGACGAAACGAATCACGAATCACGCGGCTGGAGGACGACTTCCGGATCACCACTCGAAACATCAGCCAACCACCACCAAAACACAACAGACACGCAAACAAAAAAGCAAAACAAGACAAACAAACCACCAAAGCACAACCGGCGCACCACCCAGGCAATGGCAAGACGCCACCGTATGGTAGAGACACCACCTAAACATGAGCGAGAAATCACCCAATAAACATGCCCCAAACACCACACAAACATGAGCGAGACACCGGGAAACCACCACCCGTGGATCCGGCGCCCAGCCGCCTGAAGAGTGTACAACTCCAAGCTCTCGCTATTCGGGAGCGACAGATCCGAATTCTAATTCTATTGAATTCTTGTTTCTAATAGCTTCTTGTTACTACTAGCTTCTTGTTACTACTAGTAAGGCACTTGTTACTAGTAGCGATGCACTTGTTACTACTAGCTTCTTGTTTCTAATAGCTTCTTGTTCCTAGTAGTAAGGCCAGGAGCCCCTAGTAGCATCCTTGCTCCTAGTAGCGATACCAGGAGCTCCTAGTAGCTTCTTGTTCCTAGTAGCGTCCTTGCTCCTACTAGAATTGCAGATAAAGGCCGTCCAAAACTAGAGTCTAAAGATGTCTTCGTCACCGTCTTCAAAAAACGATATCTAAAGAACAAAAAGAAATGCCTGAACAACAAAGAAAAACAAAGTCCCAAATCAAAGGTCTGAAGAAAGAAGACCAAAGGAAATTGTCTAATTAAAGGTGTCCTCGACTTCACAAGAGGGGTTCTCTAGAGACCAAACAAAGGTCTAAACAACAAAGAACATATAAATGTTCAACAAAAGGTGGTGTAAAGATGTCCCCGTATTGAAAGAAGATGTCTAAAGAACAAAAGAAAGGTCTAAGGAACCATGCTAGAGGAAGTTCTACACAAAAGGTCTGCAGCTGCAGAAGCAGAAAGAAAAATGGTTGAAGAAAAACAGAAGGTCTGAAACAAAGGTCTGAAGACGTCCTCGTCTCAGCCAAACCGATGCCTTAAAGAACCAAAAGAAACTTCTACAGCGCAAAAGCAAAACGAGGCCCTAGACAAAAGGCCTGCAGAAATAAAAGCAAGCAAAAGGCCTAAACAAGAGAAAGAAATCCAAAACAAAGAGATGTCTCCGTCTTGAAAAATGTCAAAGGAAAAATTGTCTAGAAAACACAGCAAGAGAAAGACCCACACAAACACAGCAAGAGAAAGACCCAAACAAAAGGTCTGAAGAATAGAAGCAATAAAAAGATTTAAAGGAAAAGTTCTCCGAAATATTGGTCTAAGGCTAAGGATGTCCTCGCCTCAAAAGCGAGATAGATGTCTAAAGAACAAAAAGAGAGGCCTAAAGAACAAAGACACATAAAAAAGCCCTAAACACAGGGTCTGACAAAGAAAAAGCCGGAAACATGTTCAAAGTGAATGTCCGAAATGTGTCTGAATTTGGTGACGCGGGTTTACGGGTTTACGCGGGTTTACGGGTTTACGCGGGTTTACGCGGGTTTACGGGTTTACGCGGGTTTACAGGTTTGCTGGGTTTAGAGATGTTTACGATTTGCAGTGTGTAGTCGTTCTATCATTCTTCAAAAGGCACCAATCACCGGCTGGATTTACATGCAAACATGTGCGCTGATGGCTTGCACTGAGCACCACTTGGTTTGGCACCATGGTGATGCTGAAAATGCGGGCGTCCTTTTTGAACACTTTTCAAGACAAAAACATGTGTGTTTTTTGTCCTGAAAATTGTTCAATTAGGACACCTTTGGGATGTTTGTGATGTCGGCTTTGTCCTTTGCATGTCTGGCATCCCTTGAACACATTCTTCCAGAAACCAAGTAAGCCGGTGTAAATCGGTGTGAATTGGTAAACCGGTGTAAATCGGTAAACCGGTGTAAACCGGTGTAAATCGGTAAAACGGTGTAAACCGGTGTGAATCGGTAAACCGGTGTAAACCGGTGTAAATCGTTAAACCGGTGTCGTCAAATACCAGACGCGCGTGATGTCGCAATGAAAACTAAAAATGTTCAAAGAACAAACAGAAAGTCTAAAGAATCCAAAATAGAGGTCTAAAGGCGCCCGTCTCAGTAAAAGATGTTTCAAAAATCCAACGAACAAACAAAGAAAAAAGAAGTCCACAAAAAGTCATGTCTGGAGAAACATCAAAACCGTTCCAATGCACGAAAGCCCTAACAACAATGTCTTTGAAGGAAAACACGGAAGTCCAAAACAAGAGGTCTGAAGAACATGCAAGAAAATGTCTAAAGAAAAGAGCGCAGGTCCAAAACCATGGTCTACAGATGCCTGCGTCGGAAAAAATGCCTAAAGAGCAAAAAAGGATGTCTAAACAACAAAGAATCCTAAAGACAAGGTCTGAACAAAAACAGAGAAAAAAGAAGGTACAAGAACGCTGGTCTAAAGATGTCCTCCTCTTGGGTCCAAAGAACACAAAGAAAGATCTAAGGAACAAAATCCTAAAAGAAAGTTTTAACTAGATCTAAAAGAACTCAAAATACTTGCCAAAAAATGTCCTCTTTTGGGGCCAGTTTTCCCGCCCAACAAACTAGGACTCAGCCAGAGCGGCTGGGGCAGGTTAGCGCAGGGCACTTCCTCAAAGCATCCCTCCATGACGGTGGCCGTGGCGACGCAGCGCTCGTCCTCAGAGTGGAACGTTGTTCCCCCGAAAGCACCTGCGAAGGGGTCTTTTTCGGGTTCACCAACTTCAACTGTCTAGCTATGGTCATCACCATCATCACCATCATCATACAGGCGCAGAGATTCAGACGATGCAACTGCTAGAAACAGGTGTTCGGATATAGGTCTGTAGATGCAAGTGCACAAATACAGGTGTTGAGATACAGGTGAAGACACCTACGAAACCCGGGCTGGTCCGGCGGAGGTACGCATAATGCGACCCCCTGCAGAGAGCGTGCGGACGCAAGAAACTGTAGTTTTTAATCAACACTAAAGAACGAAACCACACGAGAATATGACCCTGAAATATGTGGTTTTTGCATGGCCCCGCGTCACAACTAGTGAATGAAACTTTCCTGGTAATGTGCTCACACAGGGGCAGTTGTCATTTATATTGATCGTTGCGTAAGTGTGTTTTTGATTATACTTTGCGATATTCTACGGTTGTTTTAGTAGTGCGGCAAGGCACAAGCAAAGGCAATCGGGCCGCGAAATCGTCAATTACCCTGTAGACACGTCAGAACATTTATAAAATAGGAAATTTAGTTTCGCAATGCGTTTTGGCAAACGTTGTACTTTTTGTTGTACTCTGGTCGTCGGTCGTATTCTTGAACGTTTCGTAGTTGCATTTTTACTTTTGGTATTCTTGTATGTTTTGCATGTCATTGTACTTTCAGGAAATTCGACTCTAAAAATTGTATGTTCTTGTACTTTCAGAAAATACGACACCAAAATGTTTCTCTGATGATCATTGACAAGTCTGTAGAGGTTCCCCACAACCAAGAGCGTCCTTCGAAAGGGGGACAACTTCCCACCCCACCCGTATCAGTCCATATCAAAAATGTCTTCAACGTTGCCCGTTTTTGTTTTTTATTTTACTGTTCCTTTTCAACAGAGAAACCAAGTGTGTATCTTTAACAGTGTTTTTTTCCAATTGTATAATTGTATATGTGTTGTACATTCTATGTTTTTGCCCCAGAGCACCTGAGCGAAGCGTTCCTCGAAAAAGTGCAGGCGCGCACATATCATCACAACTTACACCCGCACACATCCAGAGTTGCATATTCCACACCAGCACAGCTTCACATCTGCACATCTTTACGTCTCAAATCTTGACATCCGAACATATCCAGACGCACGTCGCTCTCTCTTTCTTTCCTCCCTTCCTGCCTTCCCTCCTTCCTCCCTTCCTTTCCCTTCCTTTCCTTTCCTTTCCCTTCCCTGTCCTGTCCTGTCCTGAAGTTTCCTTTCCTTTCCTTTCAATTCCTTTCCTTTCCTTTCCTTTCTTTCTTCCTGTTTTTTTGTGCGTTTCCTCTCTAAACTGGTTTTTGATTGTTTGTTCTCTTTCGTTTCTCTCTCTCTCTCTCGCGCGCGTTCTCTTTTCATTAGTGTTCTCATTCTTTCTGAGGCCGGGGGCAACGCCGACGAGTCACCGCCAAACGCAACCCTCTTAAGTGAAATGAATGTAACGCGAATGTATATGAAAAACTACGTGAGTTTTACGATTTCGATGCTAGTGACAACCCCCTCGCGTGAAACGCCTCCGAAGTAGGAGAATAGTGGGCGCTGCGCGCGAAATGCCTGTCAAGGGTCGAAAAACTGGAGGAATGTTTGCGATATTGATATTGAGGCTTTTGCGGCAACCCTCTCGCGCAAAATGAAAATAGTGAATATTGGGATTGCAAATGGTCCGCACCGACCCTTTCGCATGACATGAGCGTCAAGTCCCAAAAACTGCGGGGACATTGCGATTCTGATGTGTCCGCGGCAAAACTGCAAGTGACTTGTCATACGCCATGAAGTATGAAACTATCGCCTTCAAAACATCTTTGGGGCAGGACCTGAAGCCACACATTTTACTGGAACAACACACAAAATTTACATTAACCTGGACAAGAAACCATCTTTGGGGCAGAGCCTGGGTCCACACATTTTACAGCAAACACGCACGCCACACAAACCTGCATATGCTTGGGCAGGGCACGCCTTTTACTACTCACTTGCCTGGAAAACATCTTCAGGGCAGGACCTGAATGCGTCTGGCAGGAGAACATCGACTGGAAGACATCTCTGCTTGCACGCCTCCTCCTGCGAACATCCTGTTCATCTCATCCTTTTCACTTGCTCTCTCACCATTTCACTGCACTCTCTTTACAGCTGCATCGTATCGCAAGCAGTTTTTTAAATGATGTTTGCTTTTCTCCTTGGCTTTGATGTTTGAATTTACGGAATAGCAAACAATCAAACGGACACGCGCGCGCTACAACTGCAACTGGGAAGTGGGAAATATGTATTTTCCAATTGTTTTTCTTTCAACTTCTATACTTCCAACCTAATTGTCGCTTATAGACTGTATCTGGGTGTGGAGGGCCGGCCCAAAATCAAGGTGGCAGCTGCCAAAGTGTGTAACGGTCGTCGACAATCAAGGTCGAAGTTGCCAATGTGCGTAACTGTCGTCAAAAATCAAAGTGGAAGCGACTAAAGCGCGCATCCGCCGTCGAAAATCAAGGCAGAAGCTGCCAGAGTGCATGTCTAACTGTCGCCGGAAATCAAAGTGGAAGTGACCAAGGCATGAAACTGTCGCTGACAATCAAGGTCAAAATTGCGAACGTGTGTAACGGTCGACAAATCTCAACACGCCACGCGCGGAGGTATGCAACTCCAAACGCGTACACACGAAGCGTGTTTCCTTAATTTCACTACGCAACACTGCTCCTTTGGAACGCACATTCTGCTTCCCTCGCGCATTCTTCTTCGCGACGCAAGCTGGCAATGATTGCCACATAGCGATTGGTAGATGCCATGGGCCAGTCGCGCTGCAATGACGTTAGCTCATTCTCTACTTCCAAGAGCCACACCTTCTCCTCGCGGGGAGCGCTGACGTCCATCTTCAGGTTGCGTACAAAGTACTCTCCGTTTTGCGCAAAAAAAGTCATGTCGAGGTCACGCACTCTGCACTGCACATTTGCCCTCCCGTCAAGAACTCCGTCAGGTTCGTCTGGCCCTTCTTGATCACTCCCCGATCAAGTCCGGAGTTCTAGCCGTCCCTTCACTTCCACGGGGTACCCCACGCCCTCATGTCGCCACTGGACGCTCTTGCCCCATCTTGTCAACCATCCACTTCCGCACGTGTCCGGATCTGTCCGGCTGGTTCTCCATCTGCAGTGTAGCCGTATGGATAAGAGGCGGTGCAGGTTCATGGCTTCCTCCTTCTCCTTGAACTGGTCGAAGGTCATACAGCAGGAAGACGAGTAGGTTGAACACAACCACGATTCCAATGCTTTGTTTGCGCCACCTGCAAACTCCAAAAGCTCACGGAAGCCGGAACGCCGTCAGAAAAGTTCACACAGCTCCTCGTAAGGTCACCGGCTTGCGTCCGGTTTCCATTCCTCTGCCCCGTCGGCTCACAACAACACACAAGTCAACTCTTGAAATCGTCCAGGTCCTGCTTGGACATAGCCCGAGAGAAACATCAAACAGCGAAGGCGCTTTCGACTGGCGACTTTCAATTCCAAATCACTCCTTTTGTCTTTGCCAGGCACAGGTCTCGCACGCTTCTTTCTCCTCCACTCTGCTTCTGCAAAGAAGCTCTTGCAGAAGAACTGCCGATTCGAAGCTCCAGCTTCACTTCCATGTTCAGCGCCGCCTCCAACCGCTAGCCATTCCACCAAATAGCTGAAATGACAGGGCGACGCACTTCTGGCTCACGCACACTTCAAAGGAAAATGCCATTCGCGTATACATCTGGCTTGAGGAGAACACCACGTAGCCCTGTCTGAGGCTGTTCTCACTTCAAGTATTTTGGAGCGCTCTCGCAAGCGCTGCTCTCCCTGCGTCCACTGTTTTGGTACAGTTGCGGGACAAGTTGCCACACCCCCTTCTATTCCAAAGTGTCAGGCCCAGTCAGTTTTGAGGCCAAATGTCGATCGAACTGCGCATTGAATGTCTGGTCATTCCGTGGACATGTACAAAAGGGCGCTCACACAAGTTCGGCGCAAATTCAACTCCAGTCCTTCCATCTGAGGCACAAAGTGTCTCTTCAAGAACGCACATTGCTCAGCACCCCTTCGGGAACACGGTCCTTGAACTTGCACGTGTCAAGCAGCTTCTCCACATGCTTCTTGACTCTTGGTTGTGAATAACCTTCAATGTTCTTGGTCTTTGGAACGGGCACTCCCATCTCGTTCAACTGCGTCACCTCTCACAACGTATTGCGTGCGTTGGCAACAGTTGGATACAATGCTCTGTCAAGCGAGCTGCACAAAAACTTGGTACACTTCTTCCTGATTTCCAATCCACCAGAGCTGCTGGGGTCGTAGACTCTGAAATCGTGGTTGGGCGCAAAACCACGAGTAGGCCATATTGGCTGCTGTGAGCCATGGCATTGGCCCAGCTGGAGTCTGCGTAAACCAACACCACTGTCGAGCGATCCAGCGTGATGCCGGGGATGGTGATTCCCTCACCTGGATGAGTGATGACATGTTTCACAGCCTCACCCAACTTCTTCAAATCGGCCAACGTTTTTTCTTGGCCTCGATTCGCCAGGCTCACCGTGGCACCAAGCTCCGGTCGGCTTTGTCCGGCCAACCATTGCAAACAGCCAGAAAGAGAGCGAAATTCCTTCCAGGCTTCTTCTGTGAGCTTGTCTTCCATCTTGCCAGGAGGAATATTCGGTGGATCGAGATTCTGGCAAAAGGCTTTCTGAAAAACCTCCACTTTGACCTCATCGCCATCAGCCACAAGTCGCACTTCTTTGCCACGGTAGATGCCTTCATTCTCCGTGGTCAGCTTTGTGACGGAACCCCAAAGAAACATCTTCTCTAAGCTAATAACATCAAACTCCTCTGAGTAGCTAGCCATGAAGTCATCAACATGAACGATCATCACACAGTCGAGCCTGCCACTCTTGGGGTGGTAGTGGTAAAAGAAACAGCGGTCATAGTCGCGCATGATGAAATTGTTCT